ATGAGGCAGACCATATGTGAAGGTGTTTGAGAAAAGCACAATAGGGAATATGCCAATCAAAGAGGCATCTGCATTCGATTTCAATGTCAAATCACATGTGTGTTATAAAACAGGAAAGTGTATCACTTTTATGAAAGGATAACTTGCCCATTCCAAAGCGCAGAGTTAACCCATCCCTTCCCTAAGCTGCACATGCAAGTCGGCCAAGTAAATTCCTGGCAGAGAATATAAGACGGTCGGTGTGGCCAGCAACATGCGTGTTTGGCAAACATCTTGGCAATAATGCAGATATGTTGTGTTTTCCAATGAATCATCTTTATCATCAGCATGTTGACAACTATCAAAGGAGACAGCAACTGATAGAGGCAAAAAAAAAAAAAAACTAGGAAAAGATGGTAGCAGAATTCTAGTGATAATTCTTTTTTTTTTTTTTGTAATTGAGATAAATTGATATTGGAAGGAAGCTGGTTGCAGCCCCGTTTGCACTGCTGGTTAGCTGAATGACCTAGTCTCTGAACTTCTATTGGTCTCTGTTTTGTAGTATTTGTATACACTGACAGAGCGATACTGAACCATCCCAAGACCCTTCCTGCTCTGAAAGTGTGAGTCTCTGGATGCGTATCCGTTTCTCCACACTGCTGCCTTTGAATTGTCATGGAAACATTTTTTAAGGTTGTCTTGTTACTACTGAACTCTCTATGCAGTTGGGAGTTAAGTACCTTCCAAAACTGTGCTAACGTGTTTAAATCACTGAACGGACACATCATGTTTTGAAAAAGTCATTAGCACAATTTACAGAGGTACTTAGTACAAAATCTAGTTTATATCTTGGGAGAAACTTCTATGCAATGATTCACACTAGGAAATAGGGGACAAAATTCACTCTCTAGACAATGAGATGCTGGAATTCTATTTGTATAGGTACATGCTACTTGTGCAACAAACTGAAAGAACGACCTTCACTTTTCCCCTAAAGTTTTCTCTCTTTTAGGAAAAAATAAAATAAAACTTCTCAATCTTTCTTTAACCTAAAAATAGAGTATTCCCCAGGAAGCCTATTGAATTCTAGAAACAAATGATAGGACTAAGCCCAATATATGCTGTACTATATACATACATAGACGATAATATTCAACGTATGAGTGAGGAACAATAAGAGATTAGCAACAACAGCTAATACCAGAATAGAATAAAGCATACTGTACTAAAAGTTGTACGAAGGTGATCTTCCTGCAAGCACCAGCCTGCACTGGGCTCACCCTTCTCGTGATGAATTGAGATGATACAGTGCCTACATGATGACATGAAGTGAGGCAAATGACGTGACATAGAATCAGGCGAGCACACCAACATGACTTGAACACTAGTACTGTAATATGAACACAACGTGAGGTGACTTCACCTGATTGATGGAAAGAAAACTCCTGTGACACAGATACACTGGACAAAAGAAGAACTCACGGCTTTGTGGGATAAAGCAGAAGAGAACAAGATTCTATCTACTCGAAACAGTAAGAATCTGAGACTTCTGAGTTGTCAGTTTATCAAGTTTTCCATTCAGGATCTCCAGACCAAAGTTGGTTGTGGGTAACAGAAACCATGGAAGCTAAAATGCCAAACAATTGGAGAGTGCGCTACGTGTTCCCTTGTACGCAGAAATTTTATCCACAAATGTTCGGGTCTATTATTTGGTTACAAGGAATCAGGTGTGTCTTTTTTTTCAATACAACTCCTACAAACTCTTCATTTCAAAGAGGCTAAAAATGCTCAAGATTAATAGAGCATGCAAAGGGGCACAACCACGGCCACACCATTGGCAGCATCCAAATGAAATCATTCTGGCTCATGGTCTTATAAGGAGGAAGGTATCTCTTTCTAGGTACCAAAATACGAAAACTCAGGAGAGGGCCTGAGTGGCCTGTCTGCAGGTCACATGCACACTCGAGCCAATCACGATGGGTCACCTTCCGATCCTGTCGGGATGTGCTCATTTGTGTGCTAGAATGGGAGACAGGTGAAGAAACTTTGGGGAAAGAAACACCCCAACAGGAAGAAACAACAGCTACAGGACAAATTGGCCCAGAACATCTCAAGTCAGCTTCAGACTTGGCACCATTGATCTTTGCTCCTGACTTTTCTTCTGAAAGTTCCAATATCCCTAGCTTGCCCTTGTTTTTCTGCTATTAAATCCGCACGTATTAGAAAATGCTTGTAGGGCCCGGTGCGGCTGCTCAGTGGCTATATCCCTGCTTTGCACTGTCCAGGATTCCACATGGGCACCAGTTCATGTCCTGGGTGCTCCAATTCCCATCCAGCTCCTTTCTTATAGCCTGGGAGAGTTGTAGAGAATGGCCTAAAGCCCTGGGATCCTGAACCCAAAAGAAGCTTCTAGCTCCTGGCTCCTGACTTCAGATCAGCTCAACTCTGGCCATTGTAACCTCCTGAGGAGTGAACCAGCAGACAGAAGATCTTTCTGTGGCTCCTTCTCTCCCTGTAAACCTGCCCTTCCAATAAAAATAAACAAATCTTAAAAAAAAAAACACAGAAAAGAAAATGCTTGCAACTCACAAAGTATCAAGGTATACCTATAAGATCTCACGGTGTTTTAAAATGCTGGCAGAGTGTTAGCAGGCCATCACACAGGCATTTATTCGTAGGATGTAAATATCCTGACAGACCCTGCAGTCGAGAGAAGACAATAATGATGCAGACCTGGCCAGAAATGATCCAGAAGTCGGTCCCTATGACCAACTGCTGCTCTGGGCAGCAGGCTGCCTAGTGTGAGAGGTGTCCAAGTAATTATTGCTGTCTGACGCAATCAGAGACAACTCCATTGGATAAAAAAAGACACTACAGTCTTAAATTATATCAGACATTCTTCTTAAACTGTTGGCAGGTACAAAATGACATAAACTTGCTTTTGGTTAGTCTCATGCAATGTGTACGCTCTAGGAAATTCGCCAAAGTCAACATGCTCAAATGGGACAGGTGTAGCCGGGACTTGGGGATACGAGAGTGACATAAAGGATAGACAGAGGAGAATGTGTGCATTTAAACCCTCTGCTTACCACCCAGAGCTGTCCACATGTCAGAAGCTGGGAAATACCGCATTCTGTGTTGAATGCTTTTTACAGGGATTTGGAGAGGATTTAGGTAAAAGTTACCCAGTAAATCATTTACTAGCTCTAGTAAAACATCAAGGAAATTTAGTTGGTGTCTCAGACCATTTAAACAGAAGTTTATAGAAAACCCCCCAACCCTCAACTAGGGTTTATAAAGAAATGTGTGTAGTGCTGTTGAACTGCCTGGATCACTTTTTGTAACAATTTCAGTAAGATGAAGAGATTGAAAGCAAATTAATTGATGTAACAGTCCAGATGGTTAGGAAAGAGAAAGAGGAAGTGATTCCTCATTCATCTTAGTATTCATTACTAAACCAATATTTTCTAATCTTATTCCAGGTACTCCAAGACTTCCAAGAGTAGGAGGAATGTAGGATTCCTGCCTGGGATTCTTTGTAATGAGAGAAAACTGCTGTGAGCAAATGTGCGACATAAATATGACAGATTCTTTTAACTGGTGGTAGACATATGAAAGAACAATAAACAGGTAATAAGAAAGTAGAAGTTGGTTAGAAAAGTCCCAAAAATTCAACCAACCACACCAGTAAGAACAAGTAACAGCTTTAAGTGAAAGACCTCAAATGACATAATGCACTCAATGTCTAAAGAACAGAAAAAAAATCCCATGCCCCTCATCTTAACATTTCTAAAACTCATTTTCTCAAAATGACCTATCCTTACTGTTAATAAAAATGGTGACCTTTATTATGAATCTACCTGTTACGCTCACTATAAGATATCTTACATATGACAACACTTCTAAAACTTTGTGAAGAATATAACCAAATGATGAATTTGTTTTGATGTAGCGAGTTTTTTTTTTTTGAGATCCATATGTAGTGGAGCTGCTGGGATTAGAACCAGCGGCCATGTGGGATCCTGGTGCATTCAAGGCAAGGACTTTAGCTGCTAGGCCACGCCGTTGGGCCCGTTATGTAGTTATTTCATAATACATATTTTCCATAAAATGTTTGATCACTCCTTATATTCATGCATTTCAATTTTTTTTGCGCCAAACTAAAATTATCTTTAAATTCTACTTAACAGGTGCACATTATCTTTCAACTTTTGTAATAGCCATAAAATCCCTGTTTGATGGTCTATGACTACAGTTTGACATAAAGAAACTGGCAAAACTGGAATGGATACTCAGTCCAATCTGTCTGCAAAGCCTGTGGATATGCTTCGCTTTCTTCTCACCTGTTTGTTTTGCTCAACAAATATTTGCTGAACCTTCTTGGAGGAGCTGTGGCCACTGAAATAAATGGAGTAAAGCATGGTACATTGTGTTTCTAAAGTTGACCACATGGAACCTTTCATCCTAGCGTGCCTTTTGCAATAGGCCTTTTCCAGTCCGAGTCAAGAAGTACAGTCTTTTCTTCCTCTAGCCAATGCTGTGACACATTTTAACCCATAGATGAGCCTTCACCGATGTGTTCTCCCTGAACTCAAAACACAAGTTTTCAGTGAGCAAAGTACAGTAACAGATGGCCAAAGTGGCAGTAAGGAACCCAGTCTGCTGAAGAAAACGGGCACCTACGCAATAGGAATGCCCCATGTGCAATTGCAGCACTGTGTGCAGTAGCCAAGTCATGGAATCAACCCAAATGTCCACCAACAGATCAACAAAATAGGATAGCATTGGTCAAAGTATTTAGATCTCCATATTTAAGTGATACCAGTAAGCATTGTGAAAACATCACGTCGATGTTTTTAAAGGTATATTTCTTACTGGACTGTGAAATTTCCCAAGTCGGAATACGTACCTTACAACCTTCAAAAGACACATAATCCATAAGGACAGAATGAAGAGTGACTTACTGGCTTCAATCAATGCAATCTTGATCATAAAAACCCAAGATAGAATCACTCACTCACCAAACCGAAAAGCGGTGCTGCTCCAGTTCTTCCAGATACGATCTGTTCTGTGAGGCATCCTCAGGTGCTCCAGCTGCCCAAACAGCTGATTTGTCTTTCACAAGATGATCTGTTGACCTGTGCTGCTTGTCCGAGAAATTAAGACATGAAAAACAAAATATCTCCTTAAGAATGGAGAGCAAGTTCACTGATTTGGGCCTGTCCTCTCCAGGGTGACTTTCAGATCACTCAGCGAAAAGGAGTATCATCAGCCTTGGTTTTTGCATTGGCGTTATTGTCTCATATTTTGTAGCAAGTTCTATTTTTGAAAACATATTTATTGAGTTATTCATATTTGAAAGATAGAGCACAAGAGGAAGATGGACAGAGATGGGGAGAGTCAGGGAGATAGATAGATAGAGAGAGAAAGAGAGAGAGAGAGACAGCTTTCATCTACTGTCTCATTCCCCAAATGGCCAGAGCAGCTAGGGTTGAGGTAGGCCATTTCTAGGGCCAGGCACTCAATCCAAGCCATTCACGAGAGTCGTAGGGATTCACCTGTTCAAGGATCTGCATTGGCATGCTCAGATCCAGGTATTCCAAAATGGAAGCGAGTGCTTCTATCAGCCTCTTAGTCAACTGACTGAGATTCCACCCTGTGGTTCACAGGGCGTGGGGTGTTCCACTCTGTATCATCCCACATGTAACTGCTATCAGAATAGAAACTCAAGTAACCGTGTTCATGACAATTGCATTGAAGCCGAACCTTGGATTGCAAAATAATAATAAAAATATTTTAGAAGAAAACAAGTACTTGGCCCGAAAAGAGGAAAAATAATCAAGAGTTAGGGATTTTAGATTGTGATTTTATAATTGTGTAAAGACTGGGGGAAAACATAAAATGCAAAAGCTTAATGTGAAGACATTATTTGTATAATCATTAGGTAGAGAGGCATTGTTAGTTTAATGTGTGTGTAGATTCAATTTCCCACATCTTTTCTCAAGTATTTTCTATTTTTATCATGAATTCCTTTTTAATCAGCTATAGTTCTTTAAAATGAATTTCTACAACTAACAGGGGGGAAAAAAAGAAGTGCAACTTTAATTCGCTTTTAGTGAAAAAAAAGGCAGGCGGGAGAGGCTTTGAGAAAACCTTTGAAATCTCCACCTAAGAAGGCTAGAAGCAGCCGGACATGGGACGCAGGGGACTTGGGTTCACCAGCGCTCCCTTCACTGTGGTTCTCTGCCTGGCTGAGTCACTTCATCCTGGCATTGTCACCAAGAGCTCCTAAAGTCACAACCCGTGACTCAACAACTGGAATGTCAGCATCTCTAATTCCTACAGGTCCCTGTCATTCCTTCAAGGATTCTTGGGAGCTCAACTGTGGTGGACAAAAAGAGCTGTAACCCGGCAGGACTATTCTTTCCTCTCCCACAAAGCAGCTCTATTTGAATGTATTGCAGGCTCCAGTACAACTTTACGACAACATGCTACTGATAAAAAAAAAAAAGATAATTGGAAAGCAACCAATCTAGAAAAGGAGAAAAATAGACAGGACGTACTTACAAAAGAGTTTGTTAAAACTCTTTTTTTTCCTTTTCTTTAGACTCATCTTATTTGATTGCATAATCATTCTTAAGAGGTGGGTTACTTGAAAATCCTTGATATCAGTTCATACAAGATTTAGCACAACTCTGTAGCTGGAATACTTTACAATTGCAAAATGTTTTACTGAGTCTGCAAGTTGCAATAACCAGGTAAAGAAGGTGTGTCATCAAATCCCTATGAATGCAATAAGACTCATTTCTTTTATTATGACATTGACTGATTTGATTACCTTAAGAACAAAATCCAGAGAAGACAACCATTGATTTAAACGACTATTCACTGCGGCCCTTTTTAACTTTCTAAGTCTCTATAGTGTCCATGATTAAAGTGTTTGGATCAAATTATTCGGCATTATTGTTTTCAACTATTCCATTCTAACTAGAGAGAGCCAATATTCTTTAAAAAAAAAATGAGCACTTTGGTTGTCCCAAGTAACCATATTTTATTAGCACACCTTGACAGGCTACATAAAATATGTCTTTGTCTAAATTTGATCTTATTTTGTAGCTACTTGGGTACTTCATCACATCTCACATACCACAAAATTGAAATAAATACCTAGAAGTGACGCACCAGAGCTTCTGATGTGGTGAGATGTGGATGTGCAAGACAAAATAAATGTAGTTTTGTGTTGGTTCTATTTTTTGAACCAACATGTTTTTAACTAACATAACACTCAAAGATAATTGCTCCACTAAATAAAAGCTTCAACAAATAAAAAAAAAAAGACTATTGCCAGACAATAGTCAAGGGCTATATATAATAATCAAATGGAAAGATATTCAACTTCACTCATCTAAATTTTTAAATAGTCACAAACTGGCTCGCAATTCTGAACAATTGATTTGACAAACACTTAAAATCATGAATTTGCAGAAAACTGATATAAACAGGCATTTCATTATTGTTGTTTTTGTTTCTTAGCTTATTAAAAAAAATTATCTCACAAGTGGAAAGACATATTTACAGAGAGAAGGAGAGACAAAGATGTTGCATCTGCTGGCTCACTTCCCAAGTGGCTGCAGCAGCCAGAGTTCAGCTGATCCAGGACCTGGGAGCCTCCAGCTATCTTCTGTGGATGTAGAATCCCAAGAACTTGGTCAACTTCCACTGATTTTCCAGGCCACAGGTAGAGTACTGGATGGGAAGTGAAGCAGCTGGGACACAAACCAGGATCCACATAGGATCCCAGAGCTTGCAAGGGGAAGACTAGCCAATTGTGCCACAGCACTGGGCCCTGTAGTATTTCTTTCCATCAGGCTTATTTTAATGGACATGATGGTCTCCAGCTCCACTGGTTAATCTTTTAATATCCACCCTGTTTCTTCTAACTAAATTCATGATAGAAACAGGATATATAGTATATTTCAATTTTTCCTAGAATCTACTGTGATTACAATGATGTGGTAGACACTCACCAAATAGATTTTAAAGATAATCATATTAGACAACCATATTCTAATCCCATCAACAAGACTTACCTCTGATTACTAAACCATAAAAAATAAACCTACAAATATTAAAACTCACAAGTCATTCTATTCTCAACTTTTGCATTTCTTTTGAAGAAAATCTAAATTAATTGGCTAAAAATTCTGTTCCTCAAGTGAACATTTGGAGCACATAAAATCACCAAAACTAGTTTATCCTCTAACAAATGAGCCTCCAAATGAACAGAAACCAAAGGGTAAGAGTTTTGATATCCCAAAAAAGATCAGTCTGTGCAGGGAATTCTCAGGTCAGTGTCAGCATGTGTGAGCTTGCCCACACCGTGATCTAACAATGTAAATGACTCACCCAGCAGTCATGGCAGACAGATATGTTCCAGAGACATGATATTTTAAGTATGCTACTGTCAACATTTTAAAAAAGGAAAACAGACCTTTATTCCTATAAATGTAATCCTGTCTATACCCTGACGTCAAGAACATCATCATTCAAATATGAAATTCTTCCAAAACCAATAACTTATAAATCAGTAGTCATGCTTTCAGTGTGAAACTGGTCAGGGACTGGGGTTGTGACAGCCTGCGGTGCCACCATCACATAGAGGTGCCAGTGTGAGAGTGAGATGTATCGCTTTCAATACAGATCGCTGCTAATTTGCCTGGGGAGATGACCCAAGACCTTGGACCCCTGCACCCATGGGAGAAGCTCCTGGCTCCTAGACTCAATCTGGCACAGGCATATGGAGAGGAAACCAACAGATGAAATAATTCTCTAGCTCAAGATTTCCATTCCCAACCCTCTTGATATATCATTCTACTTTTCAATAAAATAACATGAATTCTAAAAAGAGAGGGAAAGAGAAAGAGAGAGAGAAACAGGTAGGGAGGGAGAGAGGGAAAGAAATCGGACATATAAATTTAGTTACAGAATAGCAACATATATATGCTTAAGTATTCATGTACAGATACAAGCAGAGAGCTGGGTTGAAAGTGGAGCAACCAGGACACAAAGTGGTGACCATATGGTGTGCAGGCACTAGCAGGTAGAGGATTAGCTTGCTATGCTACTTTGCTGGCCAAAGGACTGCAGTTTTAAGCTAAAAAGTGAAAATCATGTTTGTCCTATGTAGATTATGCTATTTTTATGAAAAGAAACTGACACAGATACATACTTAGCAAAATTCATTTACACATGTATGATAATTAGGAGGGGAGATAACCCTTAAAATGTTATAGAAATTAGGATTCAGGCATTATCTTCTACAAAACACTGTGTTACATAGGTGTTGACTATTAAATGTTCTTTCTTGTACATTTAGGATAGTGATATCATATAATATTATGCATAAACTATTTTAGGAAGAGAATCTCCAAATTATCTGAGCTCATGACGTTGAGGCTTATTTACTTGCATTATACGGCAAGGAGTAACATTTAGTTTCTCATCATGGTATTTAAAGATTTTGTTCTCTTAGCTAGAATTCCTTCCAAGGGCCCATCAGGTGATGGAGAAGGATGTGGATGACCGGGAAGGTGAACAAGGGTTTGTAGGCCCTTGGATTGTGACAGCAGTGCAGTCCATGGGAAAGCATTAAGGTGTCAACACAGCTAAGCTCCACTTGGCAACAGCGTTTCTTCATCAAACCCTTTGTGTGAGTCTCTGGGGAAAATTGCTCACCTACCCATCGGGTCAGATGAAGACCAGGGCCACTGTTTTTCTCAAAGGAAAGAGCCTTCAAGAGAGAAAAGAGTCATCATGGGCTGAATCTTGAAGATTATAAATGCTGTTGAATTGTTCCAGGAAGATGACAAGCAAGTGGTCCTGGACGCTTTAATTCTGGTACCAAATGATTCTCACCAGTTTTTAAGATGGCAGGGGAAGACAGTTTGGGGTGATATTCCACACAGGGCGGCAAGCCACAGATAACAACAAGTACCAAATGTACCTTAAGTATCGAAGCAAATAAAGATGATGTCATATCCATTTCCAGAAGGTTCTATTCTTGTCTTCCAATTAAAAAAATAATAATAATCAGCACAGCTCCAGCTTAAATACAGCCTAAATCTGGAGTCCACGCAGCAAGAATATTGTCACCTCTTTTCATTCAAGCTGGTGTGTTCGCCAGAACATATTACAGGGTGAACTTTGAATCAACTGCTCAAACAAGGCATCCTTTAACGTATATCTCAAGATTCATTTATGTGGAGACACCTGCAGTTATTAATGCCATCCGATTTCTGTTCCTCCCCCCCGTGAAAGACAGCCGGCCTCCCCGACCACTGAGGACCACGTGTTCTGATTGTTCACAGACTACTAATATTTGAGACTCTGTCGCTGCCCCTCTGGAGTTCAGTACTAATCTCAGTGCCCCACTGTTCTTCTATGAATGACCTAGGTTCGTATTTTGGACACCAACTGACAGTCCAGTTCCTGATATTATGACAAGTTGAGAACAAATAACAGGTTTTTATACTGGAGTGCACCTTTGAGACTACTGACCATCAAGAAGGTGGTGTATCTCTTTAGAAAGGAATGCTTCCATCTCTACTTGCTGTACTAAGCTTCATCTCTCCCCGCAGTACTAAGAGGAGTACTTCTGGCCCTGCACTCCAACAGCGCTGTCAGCAATGACACTGTCCCAGCATGTACATGCTACTTGTGGAAGCAATTCAGAGTCAATTAATAATTTGTGAAATGTAACAGTAAAAATAGAATGAATCAGAGAATAGCTTAATTGAATCAGAAAACCCAGAAAAAAATAATTGTAGGTTTTTAGAGTAGATTGCATTCATTCATATCACAGCTCTCTTAGCCTTTCTCCTAATTTCAAATTATAAGGCCAACCAATGATATGGAGATTTTTGCAAAAAGTATTACAAAGGATAAAATTAGACCTTAATGATGATAGATGCTTCGTGGACATACTCTTAGTTCCACACCCCTCCCCCTCAAAAAAAAATACATAGAACTCTCTGAATGGATGTTTGATCTAGTTTGGTTAAGATGCCAGCTACAACTCCCATGTCCCACAGCAGAGTGACGGAGTCAGACTCCCAGCTGCTGTCTTCAATTCCTGCTTCCTGCCGGTGTAGACCCCTGGGAGGCTGCAGTCCTAGCTCAAGGAGTTGGGTTCTTTCTACCAAGTGGCAGAGTAGGGTGAAATGTTGGGCTACTGGCTTTAATCCGGCCCAGTACAATGTGTTGAGGGTATTTGAGGAGTGGCCCAGTGATATTCTGTCTCTTTAGAAAAAATATCTAATACACAATATGCACTGAAAGAACGTCTACTTCACGTCACACATTGCTCTTGTGTTTCCTTGCCTAGAAATTCCCTCTCGATTTCTCTGTCCCAGGCCATAAATCAGTGACATAGAAACCTAGCATAGTGGAGACAGGAAGGCACACGTTTGTCAGAAGAATTATCTCATAACTGATTGAAATATGGATTCTAGAGCCAGACGGTCTGGGTCAATGCCCAGATTTGGACTTCATAGCAACATAATTTCTCTTAAATCATGCCGTCTCCCCAGATTTAGTTTTTCTCACGTGTACAATTGGGAATAAAGATCGCAGCAGTTTCTAAGGCACATCATTTGATGTGGAGGATTGATTACGTTTTTCAGCTCCCAGGAATTTAACACTTGTACAGGGCTTCTCTTACTCTTAAAAATTTGATGGAACTTTCTGATCCCCAAGCTTTCTTCTTGGATATAGACTGGGATATGGAAGTGATTACACTTGCAAATACTGCAGGTGATCATCCTGAGTTATTTGATGAAATGGTGGCACAGAATTTACACGTAAGATGAGAAAATGGAAAGACTGAAGCCAATCTTGAGATCAGGCATGAAACGGTCTCTAAAAATCTATGTGGTCAAATGTGACTTAATGACAGAGATTTTTTTCTGAGAAATGCATTGTCAAGCAACTTTTGTCACTGAAGAGTACACTTACTTCCACAAGCTAAGACAATTATCACATCACTAGATGACTTACGAATGAACTTCACAAAGTTCATGGAAATTTGAATTAAAGCATTAATGTATTTCGTGCAAAAATTTGAAATGAACGCACACCTCGGGTTTTCAAATAGTTCATGAAAAATGAGTACTTTGAAAAATAACTATACTTAAATTTCTAAATTTGCACCAAAAGGAACTCTTCTCGATTCCATTTTCTACAAACTTTGAGGAGCGCCTTTGTGTATTCTCACAGGCCTACAACTGTATATGTATATGATACCTCACAGCCCAAATTCCCTCACGCAGCACATGGCCACGTCTTTTAAGTCAGGAAATTGGAAAACTAGGATGGTGGTTGAACCATCATGGAAGGGAAGAGAACACAGTGGGAAGAAATCCTTTTGCTTTTATTTTATACCAGCCTAATTGTCTGACTATTTAAAACTCAGCCATTGGATCTAAGTTGATACCAATTTTGGAAATGTTTGTGTACCTGATATTGCCAGTACAATCGATGTGAAGGTTGCTTTCCAAAGCCTGTCTACATAACTTAGATATGTTCATGGAGATGACTGTGTTACTAAATTCATGAAAACCATGATCGTGCCAAATGAATCACTGGAGGAATGCACCATCAGCTCATTTCCCAATCACCCTGCCCAAACTACAAAGTCTTGTCATCTGTTTCATTCAACAGCTTAAAGAACTGTGATTCAGGTGCAATAAAATTCTATTGGCAATATGGATTTCTCACACATCAGCTGCTTTAGCATATCTTGCACTTTAAAACCCTCTTTTAACACCAAATCACTTTCTACCTGGAAATACATGTTAGGAGATGATGTTTTCATGGTCTTCCTCCAGCCTTCCTCTTACCTTGGAGTGTAGTCCATCATCCTCTTTCAGGAAATTGATATCACAGTCCTTAGGGCAGGAACCAGTTCTATTAGAATTATTCCCTACGGTTAAGAACAAAAAAGTGGGAAAAAGCTTATTACAGATTTTCACTGTAGAGATATGTAAGCCCATACGGCTGTGATCCAAGAGGTGATACAAAGCCCGACAAATTGAAGCAACAGCAAGAATTCTAACAAACGAGGCTCCACGTTGTTCTATGCTCCTGGTCTTCATTTAGCCTGTGCATGAACTTCAAGTTGAACTTGACTATCAACCACAGCAGGAGCATATAATTTACAAGCAGCTGCTGCCCCTAACCTGCTTTCCTACCTCATCTCTGTGTGTTTCTGTATCACCAGCAATGTTTCTGGGTTTTATTTCCAAAAAAAAAAAAAAAAAAAAAAGTTCTCTCGACCTATCAGTGGCACTTTATGAAACTTTGAGATTGGAGAGGTGTGTTTTCTGCCTATCCCCAGCGTATTCCACTTGGGCTACCATTGTCCTGTTGTCATATGTGGAAGGGTTCTTTCGCCACCTCGGCCCTAGTGACATTTTAGACTGGACAGTTCTCTGCAGTGGAGATTGCCACGTGCTTTTACACAGTAATGTCCCACACCTCTTCCAGCCTTTCAGAACATCCTCCCAGTTGTGTCAACCAAAGCTCCCATTAAACAGCTGAGAAATTCAATCCTGGTTCCATTTGATCTCAAAGAGCATATATGTAAACCTCCAATTGCATCTGATTAGAGAAATGACATCCTTTTACTCACTGCTGATGGATCAGATTTTATAGTAATCTTTAAATCACTAAATTTTATGATTTAAAGCCAATCTAGTTATCATCTTACTATTTTTATGGCTCAGAAATATGCACATGCCTGCCTTAGCTAGTTTCTCAACTAATACATCAACGTGTTATCAAGGGTTTCTGTTTTCATCTGGGCCTGCGGGCTCTCTTCAGGTTTGCTGGCTCCTGGCAGAATTCATTTTCTTCTCAGACTTCTCAGGCTGGCCTGTTCCACATCTGAGTCTACATGAGCAGGCTGTAGCCTTTTCATGCGCTGGGCTCTCCAGCCCCTCTTCTTTCAACCTAAGAAAAGTCTGTGCTTAAAAGTTCATGTGATGCTGGTCAGTTGCATAATCTCCCTCTTGTTGAGTATTGGAAGAGCGTGTGAGAAAATCTGCCTCCCAGAGCTGTTGTGATCCTTCACCGGTGGCTCCAGCTCCCTGCTGATGGCCTGGGAGAGCAACAGAAAATGGCCCAAGTCCTGGGACCCCTGCACCTGCGTGGGAGACCCCAGGGAGGCTCTTGGCTCCCAACTTCAAACTGGTTGTGGCAGCCACTTGGGGAATGAAACAGCAGATGGAGGCACTCTGTCTCTTTCCCTCTGTCTTTATAATTCTTTCGAGAAAAATAAATAAAGCTTTTTTAAAAATTGTGCTGACCAGGTATCATTTCTGATTTAGTAGAACTTACCTATACATATGTAAAAATATAATAATGTTAAAAAACATATATCTCTACCAAAGAAGTTGATTCCTAGAAGTCTTTAACGCTTTCTTTCTTCCCATGTAAAATGTTCTTTATGCTAAAACTGATCCTCATATTTATAAAAACATATACTAATATGATGCATAATGGATAATTAAAATATGTGGCATACAATAATTGTGATATGTATTAATGATTACACATAATATAAAAGTTTGCAAACTACGTTTTTAACCTAATTATATGCATGCCATATAAAAACTCTTAAAAATTTGTGGAAAATGAGATAAAAGGGCCCGGCGCGGTGGCGCGGTGGCGCAGTGGTTAAGGTCCTCGCCTTGCACGCCTGGGATCCCATATGGGTGCCTGTTCTATCCTGGCAGCCCCGCTTCCCTTCCAGCTCCCTGCCTGTGGCCTGGGAAAGCAGTCAAGGACGGCCTAAAGCCTTGGGACCCTGCACCCGTGTGGGAGACCCCGAGGAGGCTCCTGGCTTCGGATCGGCATAGTATCGGCCATTGCACTCACTTGGGGAGTGAATCATCGGACGGAAGATCTTCCTCCTCTGTCTCTCCTCTCTGTATATCCGCCTTTCCAATGAAAAAATAATAAAAATAAATCTTTAAAAATAAAAAGAAAATGAGATAAAAAATAAGCTAACTGTGGTATAAACTTTTTTTTTTTGAAAGTGCATTTTTTCTTCACTGTTATACATTCCCATGGAGTTTTGAAAACCTCTTTGATATGTAGTTTATATTTTTCACAGCCAATAAAATGTGCTTCTTACTTGCTTCATATTAAGTAATATAATCCTTGAGTAATGGTTTTTAATCACTGCATAGTGGCATCTCTGACACTTTTGTTCAGCAAACCGCCTTTGGGTTGTTCACTTCTGTTATGCTGAAGAAATGCTACAAACATCTTTCTTTTCATTTGTTCCTTTTTTTAAAATGAGCATCTAAGATCAGCAATGCTAAATCACACATCCAGGAGTGTCACCTTTCCATGACAACAAGAATTATCAAAATTCATACTGTTGCCAGCAATATGGGAAAAAAATTCAAATAACCACAGGTTTGTCTAGTCTGCTATCTTTGTAATTTTCAGTTGTATTTACTTATTAGACAAAACAGTGATATTGGCTGTGATGTTTCATTTAAGATTCTGTAAAGCTCACAAGTCTGGGTATGTATGCCTGTTTATACCGTAAATTTCTTTCCATTATTTTTTCTGGCTTCATTCAGATGTAAGATTTAAAATTGTCTGTTATTTTCACAAATTAAAAACAAGAATAAGCCGACAAATCAGAAAATCTAGAAGACATGCATAGATTTCTGAACACATACAATTTACCAAAACTGAATCATGAGGTCATTAAAAACAGAAGTAGACCTGTAATCAGGATGGAGCCCTCTAACCAGGACAGACACTTAATTGGTAATTAAATCCCTTCCAAAATGGACCAAAAGAAGTTACTCCAACCCTCCACAAGCTGTTCAAAACAGTAGAAATGGGGCAATCCTTCCAAACACTATGAAGCTAGCTTTCCCTTAACGCCAAAGCCAGATAGAGACACAATGGAGAAAGAGAATGACGGAGAGCTAGCCCCGATGAACACACATGGAAAAATTCCACAAAAGAAAACAAACCAACAGAATCCGATAATACATCAGACAGATGATTCATCCAGACCGGGTAGGATTTATCCCTAGAATGCATGGACGCTTTCACATACACAAATCAGTAAATGTGATATATTACATCAACAAAATGAAGTCCATAGGATCATCGCAATAGGTGAAGAGGAGGCATTTCATAAAACCCAACATCATTTCATGCTAAAAGCCCTAAGCAAAGCAAGCATGGAAAGAACATTCTACAACACAATCAATGCAAAGCACAAAAACCCCAATGCCAGCTTCACACTGATTTAGCATCATTTGGTACCATTGCTTTGTTGTCTCCTTAACTTTGCTTTCAGGATTTTCATGTTCCCTTGGCTGCTCAGCAGTTTGACAATGATATTCCTGTAGGAATTCCTTTGTATGTATGTATTCTCTGGGGACTTAATGAAGGTCAGCTGACATTTTAAGAAATTTGGGGAATTTTCAATCAGTAAAAAATAATGCATATTTTCTTCCATTTTTTAACCTTTCCTTCTAATATTTCCATTGTCTGGATGTCTCCCCGGGTGCATTAGTAGGGAGCTGGGTTAGACATTGGACAGCCAGGGCTCAAAGCAGTGCTGAAACATAGAATGCCAACATCCCAGGTAACAGCTTAAGACACAGTGACACAGTGCCGGACCCCACACGATTTATTTTTCACATACAGACTGATGATACACGAGACACTAATGTGCCTGCCCTGACTGGGTTCAACACCACATCTTTTCCACATCTGGTATCTTTGTCCCACTCTGAAATCCACAACAGGCAGCGTCAATTAGGTCCTTTAGTAAAGCGCTCCATGGGCATCACCGTGGTTGAGTGCAGCCGGGTCCTGAGTCAAGGACTCATGGGGTAGGGGGTACCTCATCTTCCACATGCGTGTGCTGTTCCGAGGAGTCCAGTCTGCACTTCACAGCTCACAGACTGTCTTCCCACCGTGCGCTCCTGATGGCCTGGCTCCCCAAAGGGAGTGCCCAGTGGCTGCTTACAGCAGAAGAGCTAGTATGGACAGTCTACCACAGCTACAAGGAAGCTTCATGATTAAGTTAAAAAGTATCCATGAATGTTCATGAACTTATCACAGGTTACTGAGCGATGATATGATGTGTTAGTTAATACAAGTGTAGGATAATTATTTTGAAAAAACATTTTATGAGATTATTAGCTGTCCACTATTTTTATATTGCAAATAACATTGACCTGCTGCTGTCTGAGAAATGTGCCAACTAGGATCACCCAGAACAAAATAAATGTCATATTTATAATAATTCATGGGGTGCATAAGGAAAACACTTGTCAGAATCGTACAATGCTATGGTACCCTATCTATATATAAATGCATATGCTTATAAGAATCTATTTTCCAAGTGTTGTGCTAATCTTTTTTATTTGGCATATTTTTAATGGTTTTTTCCAAATGACCTTTGAAAGATTAATCAGGGATCTGACACTATCCTTTGGAGAAATATAAGGAAAGAATACTGCTTATAATAACTTTTGCATGAAAAACAGCTAGAAAGTGTCAAAACAAACATTAATACTGAAAACAATTAAAGCCTGAAAATGGAGCCAACCGAAAACTGCTGCTTTCTCCTTAGTAATATTTTTATGCATCTCTGAAATTCTATTTCCTTTTATTTCCTATACCATTATCTTTATTACTTGAGATCAGATGGATTTTGTGAAACAATTTGCTAAGTAATACACGTCATATTTCTCCAAGCTCTAGAGAAGATCTTAAATTAAAGATTAATAAAAAGAACAGAAAATATGGTATAAAAAATACAAAAGAACCTAGAAAAATGCAGGCAACTAGATAAGATGGAAATCTAGAAAGAAATTAAATTTAGTTGTAATACATTTCCTATTCTTTTTGTTAGGAAAATCACTACTGAAAGGAAGA